GACCAACGAATCTTCTTCATTTAGCTTTTCAGAATTTCTGACTCTTGGCTCCATATTTACAATCTATCCATCTCCAATTCTTCTGTTTACATCAACAATATTTATCTTGGCTCTCCATTTATTTTACCTCCAATGTTTGTTCTGGGACTTCCTCTTTGATGGTCCAGCTTCTGGCAATTTATCATCTTATCTTTCAGGTTGAAATTCCTTTTTATTTTTCACCTTTCTGTTCATTAGTCTCTTTATTATCTATTTAAATTCCATTCTAAATACGTTTCTCCGCTATTCAGAGCTACCTATACTGTAATGACTGAAAACATAGGGACCCAGTAATAAGGCAAGACAAAGAGTAGGATAACTTAAAAAGCTTTTATTAAAGCTATGACAGATGGTTTGCACATCTGCAGCAGCAGCTGCAAGGGTGTCTGAGGCAGGTAACTTTGGCGAGAGGAAACACAGGTTATTGACCAAGAAAACCTGATGGATAATGATTTGAATGCGTGAGTCACTAACCTGGTTTAGAGTTCAGTCCATGCTCAGAGAACGAGGGTGATACCAACCGGTAAGTTGACAAGATGCAGAGCTTGTTGCACAGAGAATTCCAGAGTTTATGGACACAGAACTGACAGGATGGCTAACTGCATCCTCACCCTCTGCTCTGGTTATCTACCTCCATGTGAGCCAAGGTATCCACCAGAGGACCCAGGCAGGATTCAGTCCCCAGATTACCAGGTGAAACTAATATGCTCTAACCAGACAGCCAAAGGGATAGCTCCCCGGCCAAGTATCTAGGGCGCATGATCAGTCGGAGTCCTAGAGACCGGACCACATGTCATATATGCATAGACCAGACTTTAAAATCTGTCTTCCTGCTCAACTCTTTCTGCTTTTTTTGTTGTTCAGATTTTGCAACATCCTCATCTGGGCACTATCCTTCCATTCATCCGTGCCTGTCAGATCTCTCCTTTCACAAACAGTCTGACCTTCTCTCTCCAGATTTACTCCCCGCTCTCACTCAGATTAATTGGATCAGTTCCTTTTGGGGGGCGGGCTCAGAAAAATGAGCCGTACGATTTTTTTCCTGAAGATTTTTCCTCAATGCTGAAAACTTCAAGCCCTCCATTTTGTCCTTAGATGAGAGCCAACCTTCCCTTCATCTCATCCTGACTATGAATATTTATACCCATCATTGTTGTGCTGTGGTCCTTCTACATGAACTAAACTGACTATTATTGCTGTTGGCAGTCTAGATGGGATGTAAGACACAGCAGGAACTTGGACATGAATCGACAGCTTTACTAACAGTGGCGGCTGGCCAATACAGGGTGTTTTGGGTGTACTGGGTTTTCCTCTCCACTGTCACTACAAGCACGCTTAGTGTTTGCTTTCGAGTCATGCAAGTTGAACCGATGCAATCAACTAGTTTCCCTTAGATAGAAAACTTGGAATTAATCTGACTGGATGATCTGAAGTTTACTGTGCATTGAGATGACATGTTTTGTGAATTGGTGCTATAGAAATAAATTGAATTGAATTGAAAAGGGCGCCACTCCACCCACCAAATGATTTTTTTGAATATAATTTTTTATTAAAATTTTTAATATTTCTAAACATACATTAATATATATATTTTTTAGATGTGCAAGATTAATATTTAATCTTTAATGATTAGTAGAGCGTCAATCCATTTTTTGTTGTGATGTATTTCCGCCCTAGGATGCAAAAACCTTTGCCCATAGACTGTCATTAAAAGTTAATGCGCTTTAGCTCCTCTGCAATACAAAGGTATAGGAGAGCTCTGGGCCTGGGAGAGCTGTGGCTGATATGACAGGAAGAGTATTTGCTCACCACCTCCTGCCAGAACACAGCCCTTTGGCAGGTGATTGACAGAGATGCATTGGAGAGAGAAAGAAATGGTGCAAGAAACTGCATGTACCGAGCCTAACACTTTATTCTGCTGCCTTGACTGCCTGCCTCCTTTTTCAAACATCAGGATCTGAGCCAGCATGGATAAAGACAGATAGGACTGATTTAAAGCTCTTTTTAGAAAAGGCAAAAAAGAATGAACAATGTAAAATAATAGAATCTAGACTACTTTTTCTAGATGGTTGTTCATTTGCATATTTGCTCTTAAATAAACACATTCTCAGAAAGTAAATTGTTGTTTTATATTAAAAAATATAAAGCTCACAAATTGCTTCACCATTATTAAACTGGTACATTATTTTTTTAAGTTCGCAACACAACATTGGACCATGCAAAACACAGATTTACCTTCACAAAGTCTCAAAAGGGCAAAATGTATTTACAAAAAGTAAACCTGTACATGAATTTATGCTTTTGTTTTATAAAGTGTTTTTATAATGTTTTTTTGTTGTTGATATTCATATAAATATCCTGGTGTAATAACTTAGTAAACGTTTCATTGATTTTTGTTATATGTCTATTTTTGTTGGGATCTGGAGGCTTTGTCCACCTTCTCCACCAGAGGGCGCACGAGATCTCCTGAGGGCTTGAGCTGACTGCAACACCTGTCTTCCATCTGCTCATCAGGATGCCCTATTTAAGGAGGAACAGGCTTCCCTGCCAGAGTGTTTGCCAGTAATGGTACCAGCAAAACCTGAGCCTGCTTCTCTGATCTGTTTTCCCTGATTTTTGTGAATCTGCCTGAACCTGTTTCTCTCTGCCTCACAGATCCAGTCCTGTCAGATCAACCTGAAATCCTGGAGAATATCTCAGTCTGGAATCTGCCTGCCTGCACTCAGTTAGCCTCTGCCTAGCTCTCAGTCCTCTGCCTGCCTGCACTCAGTTCAGTCTCTGCCTTTGCCCTCAGCCCTCTGCCTGCCGACTAGCCTCTGGACCCTCAAGGTTCCCTCCCTGCTGATCAGTTCCACCTCTGAGCAGGTATTTACCCCATCATCTGATAAACGGCAGTTTACCTGGAACTCCTCTAACCTCTCTGTCCTCCTCAGTGGTGATCCTGCCGTGACCAGTCTGACTACCCAAGTTCCAGATCACATTTTTATAAACATTTTGTCAATAAACCTTTGAACTTTTTCCCTGCCTCCGAGTGTTTCTACATGTGGGTTAGACATCTAAATCCCAACATGACAATTTGAAATTTATAGCTGCTGTTTGTTGACAAAACTTCTTGGCATACTGAGCCTCTGTTACCCACAATGCATTAGAACCATTCACTGATCTTTCACAGTAAAATACCTTGGAATCAATACAGAATCAATACTTTCCTTTTAGTTTATACTTGGAACATAAATTGCATTTATTGAATCATGAAATATTTATCAGAAATTATTCTGAAACTTTAACCTTTCTCATAAAAATTTACAGCAAACTGCTGGGATCTGGAGGTCTGTCCACCTTTCTCCAGCAGAGGGCGTTCTAGGTCTCCTGAAGCTGACCACCACACCTGCGGCTCATGAGCTCATCAGGAGACTGGCATTTAAGGAGGGGCAGAGCTACAATCCGACGCCAGAGTGTTTGCCAGTTATGGTTAGCGAACCTGAGCCAACCTGCCTGTCTGTATCTCTGACTCCCTTGAAGCCTGAACCTGAACCTAACCTGCTTTGTCCTCTCTGCTTCTCAGGAAGAACCTGCCTGGAAACCTGAAGACCTGGAAGGGTTTCTCAAACGTGAGACCAAGCTGTCTGTTCTCAGTAGAACCCCTGGAAATCCAACTCTGTCTGAAAACCTGCCTGCCCGCTCTCAGCATGAGCTGAGGGAGAAGCTCTGAACCTGCTCAGTAAGAATATCTGCTCTGCCCTTCCTTTGCCTAGCCCTCTGCCTGCCTTCAGCCTCTGGACCCTCCTGGTTCCCCCCTTCTACAGCTCTGCTCGTCTCTGATCAGGTATTGACCTGCAATCACTCAACCCGCAAGTCCACTGAAAGTCTGCTAACCAATCTGTCCCTCTCTTCAGAGAAAACCAGTCGTGACCAGGCCCGGACCCAGCTTATCCCAAAACCAGTGTTCTTTATTGTGAAACATTATTCAATAAACTTGTGAACTTTTTCCAAGTCTCTGAGTGTTCTGCATGTGGGTTAGATCCCTGAAAGCCATCATGACACAAACAGAACTGAATGAAGAGGATCCTCATCCTTCTGAAATCCACCACCATCTTCTTCCTGTTCTTCATATTGATACAGAGGTTATTGCCTCTTAACTAATAAATATTTCTTTGTCTCGATCTGAGAGTTTATTACGTTTCCTCTCCCTGTTCCTGTCAGTGTGGTAGATTTGCTGAGTCTCTGCTCCTGTGGCTCCTCCCACAGTGTCTGATTAGCAGCTGTAACCACAGTGACTCTGATCAAACAGGAATTAGCAGAATCCATCTGATATGAAGCTGAGCTTTGAATACCACTTCCCTCCTCTTTGAAGAGGAGTCAGATATCAGTGTTCAGCTTTTTGTACAGCCTCTTCTACACTTTGTATCACTGTGTTTGCAGAGCACAGTAGTAGAGAGCTGTGTCTGCCAGGGTTAGCTCTCTGATGGTCAGCTTAGTTGTTGAAGAGGTTGTTTCTGAAGCATATCTGTTGTCAAGATTAAACTCAGCAGGGTCTCCCTTGCCTCTTTTCCAGAGGATAAACTGAGGAGCCTGAAGGTCAGAGTGATGTCTGAACCAGTGAAGGTCTGCTATGTCTGCAGTTGTCTCATAGCTGCAGCTGAGTGAGACACGTTGTCCTTCTTTCTCTCTAATTTCATTTGTCACAGGATAGATTTCTTCTTCAGCTATTAGTCCTGAAAAGAGCAGAGAAAAGGAAATCATTAGACAGGTTTCCCCTGTTGCTTTGAAGACATTTACAACTAAGTCTACTGTAAAACTGTCAGTTCAGTTGGTGTTTTTTTTAATGTTATCAGAGCAAATGATGCAGAATCGTTTAAAATACAGTCTGTATCTTTGGTTAATGAAGCAGCTGGAACCAAAACTAGAATCTCTCCTTTGAAACTCACCTAGAATGTGAGAGAGAAGAAAAAAGAGGTAAAGCAACATGTCTTTGGAGTCCTTCAAGCCACACAGCAGATGAACAATGTTCAGTAGAAGGAGGAACAGATAATGGCATTGATTGAGCTAAAGTTCAGTGGGCGTGGCCTAAACCCAACCAATCAGAGAGTTTTCTGCTCCCACAGCAGCTCTGTCTCTGATCTTTACTGTTTCTTGTCTCTGTTGTCTTTGTCATCAGTCTACTGAATCAGCATCCAGTGGGTTAACAGCGTGTGAGGCCCTCTAGTGGATGTTGTGGAGTATTGCAGGTTCTTGTACAGAGTTCTGGTGTTTCCTGTCACTGTGGGCTGCAGAGCACAGTAGTACACAGCAGAGTCTGCCATTGCAGCAGAGGAGATGGTCATCTTCATTTCTTCTTTGGTTCCTTCAAATTTCATTCTGTCCAGATGTTCTTCTCCACCTGAAGGTGAGTGGGACTTCAGGAACTCTGGAGGTTTTCCAGGATATTGTCGATACCAGAACAAAAAATGAGCTGAATCTTTCTTGTAACTGCAGGACAGAGTAACAGAGTCGCCCTCTAAAGTGAACTCCTCAGTCTTTGCTGCAGTGAGTTGTTGACAGTTTACACCTGAAGGTAAAAACAAAGAGTCATAAGTGAAGAACAGCAAGGATCAAATAGTTCTCTGAAAGACTCCAACTAACCTGTTCCTATAAGCAGAACCAGCAGAGTAAATCCAGATGTGAGCAAAGACAGCATGATGATCAGAGTTAATGTTTGAACTGTATTGAATGTGGAAGTTTGTGTCTCTTCTATAGTTCAGTAACAGCTCAGCTCCTCCCTGAAGCTCTCAGCTCCTCTTCATTTTGCTTGACGTACTCAAAGGCTCTTCTTCTTTTTTATAAATGAAAGGTATTTGTGGTACAGAGAATTGATAGGTGTGAATTCCTGACCATTGGGCCATTGCAGTGTTTAGAAATGCCAGTCCTTTGAAAACTAAAATCCAAAGTTTACAGTAACTAGTGGGGTGCGTATCAATAAGCAGGTTTAACAAATTCAGATTCTGAAATATTTCAGTTAGTGTGCAATGAATCTAAAATATATGAATCTTCAAGTTTTATCATTACATTATGGAAAATAATGAACTGTATCACAATATTTTGAGAAGGACAAGTATGTAGGTGGGCCATGGCAGGCCATTTTTACATTTATTAAAAGCACTCTCCTCTCTGTTGTTCCATTTATAGATCACTAAAATAAGATTCCTCCTGATCAAAATCAAACTCCTAGACCCAACTGTAATAATATATTTTCAGAATTATAGCTTTGTAGCAGAAACTGAATTTCAAAATGTAAGAATGAAGTTTTATATACATAAAAATGTTTACACATTTAAAGTGACAATTTTAGCATTCATGAGCTTGACTCAATATGTTTTTATGATATCTGACAAACATTTCTTCATAGTCAAAATAAGACAAATGCTGACCACTAACAAGAGGAATATGGAGATCTGGAATTCATTTCTAGACATCCAACTAATAACTCAAGTAATACATATCAAAACAGCCTGCCATAGTGTGTTATGACCACACTAACATTACGGGTTTATTTTTTTGAAGTGTAGTGGATCGATGTAACTGTTTAGTTAAAATCATCTGGCAGCAGGTGAAGATGGAGTATTAAAACATTGTTTAATAGATAGGACCTGTTCATCATTTCATGGGGTTCCTCCTCAGTTTGATTTTGTCTTCCATCACACAATAAATACTAAGTTACTGTTTGCAGCCAGGATGTTATCATCCTCCCCCAGAAAAAATTGAACTATACACTCTCTAAAATGCTTTTACCTGCATTTAGAGGAGAATCCATCTAACTTTTTGTCTTTGTTACACTAATTTTGTCCTGAATAGGGGAAGTATGAATGCTTGACTAGAGGTGGATATTTAATAGGTAGACAGGAGATCAAGGTACAATAATGTTTCATAGGTTAATTAAAACAATCTGAAAGTGTAATGCTACTTTCACACACAATTTGAGCAGCAAAAAAGCGTCTGATGCTTCATTTTTGATCCTTGTTCACATGAAGGTCAGATGTCCAGTAAAGTGTTGCTGCTGCTCCTGTGTTAAATGGCAGAGAGTGGTTTTGCTATATTTGCTGTGATCATTGTGTAGAAAGTAGTTTGAATTTGTGAGAAGTGAGAAAGTCCTCCTGAAAACATGGTCTGTGCAGTCAGTTCATCCAGATTACCATCCTGCCTTCAAATATTATTTCTCTGTGGGAGCCTCTCAGACCCCCACATACCGGCGCTGCGCTGTCACTGGGAATCCCCAGCAGCAGCTGCCTCAGGCCCGGTCACCTCTTGGGAGTTTTTCCCTACCGTTGATGGCGGCTGGAAGTAGATGTTATAGTTTTTCATGTATGTGGCTCAAACTGCAGGCACCAGAATGATAAAAGCAAACACATGTGCCGGCAGGTTTGTACATTTTAAGATAATTTAGGCATTAATAAACAGTTTTAGTGGAGTGATCATAGCGCTCTGCATCAGCAGCGCTGCGTCTGTCTCCCTGCCAGCTCCCAGACCAGCTTCTCTGATTAGTTAATGTGGCGCGTTGAGCAGCAAAAATTCTAATTTTCAAACTCCAGCATCTGCTGCTTGTGAAAGTTTGAAAATTTGAGCGAAGTTTCCAGAGGAAGAATAGGACGTACAATTCTGAAACAGCATGATTGGCTCTAAGGAGAATGGAGACAGAAACAGACGACACTCTGAGTTTATCAAACAAACCTGCTCCCAACCAGGTTAGCTCTGGGGAGCATGTTACTACGGTTACTGAAACAGAGGTTAAGGAAACTCATTTTGTGAAATCAGTTTCCCAGTTTCAGGTTTAGAAAATTGAAATTAGGGAAAAATCTTGCCCAAGTCCAGTTTCTTAAAGAAGTCAGAATCTCAACGACTCTTATCTGGATGAGCCTTAGTTTCAGCCTTAGTTTTATACATTACTTTTAATAAATAATCAAATTGGACCAAACTGCAGTAACTGCTGACATGATTTAATAATAATAAGTTATAGCATCATTAATAATAAACTCTCTCTTTGTCTAAACCTCTGTGTTCACAAACTATAAACATTAAACCAAATCTTTCCTGTCACTCAACTAACTGCACACTGCACATCAGCAGCATTTCAGTCTAGTGTCCACCTGGAGTATCTGCTGCTGCTATCCATGATGCTTAATGTGGTATTTAATAAGATCTTAATGATAAATGAATGGGACATGATAACCTCATTTTATTTCCTCTTTTTACCTGACCTGTTGCAGAATTTCATTCTAACTATAAAGAGAGAAGAATGAGGCCTACAGACAGGCCATATTGATAGGATAGTAACCTGAGGTTTAATGACTTTCAAACTGATGGACTATTTGATTGTCAGTTAGTGGGTCTGTATATGTGTAGCAAGCGGCAGTTTGAGACATAGGGTACCAAGGCTGCCCAACCAAGAAACCAGCTGAGCTTTGGAAGAACCAGTGACACACTGGCATCTTCCTGGTCAGTTGTTGTAATAAATTCAATGATGCAGCAAACACTCTGATGTCTGCTTTATTCTCAGCTGCACAAACAATCAGACTGAATCCTAACAAACCATAGAGGAGGAACAGTGTGTGAGGCCCTCTAGTGGATATAGTGGAGTATTGCAGGTTCTTGTACAGAGTTCTGGTGTTTCCTGTCACTGTGGGCCTCACAGCACAGTAGTACACAGCAGAGTCAGTCACTGCAGCAGAGGAGATCAGCAGGTCCAGGTGTTTCTCTTCTCTCAGTTTAGTGGAGAATCTTGATGCTGATTTCAGATTATCTGCTAATCTTGGATTGTTGAGCCCTGAGATGTACATGATGAACTCTGGAGGTTTTCCTGGATATTGTCGATACCAGAAGAAATGATCAGAAGATGATATCTTATTGGAGTAACTGTAGGACAGAGTAACAGAGCTGCCTTCTAGACTGAACTCTTCAGTCTTTGCTGCAGTGAGTTGCTGACAGTTCACACCTGAAGGAGGAAAAGAAAATAAGTGAAGAACAACAAGGATCAAATAGTTCTCTGAAAGACTCCAACTAACCTGTTCCTATAAGCAGAACCAGCAGAGTAAATCCAGATGTGAGCAAAGACAGCATGATGATCAGAGTTAATGTTTGAACTGTGTTGAATGTGGAAGTTTGTGTCTCTTCTATAGTTCAGTAACAGCTCAGCTCCTCCCTGAAGCTCTCAGCTCCTCCCTCAGTCTCTTTGCATCTTTTCTTTTTCTCTGTTTGTTAAATATTTATGAGGCAACTGTGATTAAAATGCACTAAAAATATGGAAATATTTGTCCTAGGGTTAGGGTTAGGGTTATAATGATATAATGATTTTATCGAGCTTTCAGTTCCCATGTGTTTCATGTTCATCAGTGTCTCATAACTTGACTTACTTGATTACTGCTCAGCTGATTCACCTGCTCCTGCCACCATCTCTCCATGGTGTCCAGAGGGGACACCATGGAGAGATGGTGTCCAGCATTACCAGCGTAATCCAACTGTCTGTCTTGCCTTGAATACTGGGTCCTCTGTTCTGAGCCTTAACATCTTAATAACAAACTCTGGTCCAGTTTAAAGAATAGTAACCTCAGACCATAATGCTGCCACCGGCGTGTTTCTCTCTTAGGCTGCTGTTCTTTTTAGGTACATTTTTTTTATATATTTGTTTGTTATATATTTGTTTGGAGAGGCACTGGGCTCTTTCTTTCTAGAGCCACGGGAAGGATTACACTACAGAGGGGACAGAGAGTGATCACACCTGAACCTTATTAGGAGGGATGGTGTGTAGCTGCTGATATGCAGACATTAAGGAGGATGACAGGATGCCCTCTGCCTCAGACGACACGGGGTGGAACAGAACAGGCCATTGGCAATGATAGTGTGATGGAAGGTCATCGATCATCAGGCAGGACCCGGATAGAAAAAAATAAGTGAACTGAAACACCAGATTGGGTATAAACAATGAAAAAACACAAAGTAATGATGGATATAAGTTACAAGGCATAGCAAAGACACAATAATTTTCTAAACAATATGCCAGTAAGTTGGTTTAATTCTTCAGCAATCCCTCAAACCAAACATGCATGCAATGACAGTGGAGAGGAAAATCTCCCTTATAACATCAAGAAACCTTTAGTAGAACCATGGTTTACAGTGCTGCATTTGATACAGTTGATCATAATATTCTTTGAGAAAGACTTGAATATTTTGTTGGAATTAAAGGAACAGCACTAGACTGGTTTAAATCTTATCTATCTGATTGAATTCAGTTTGTTCATGTTAATGATAGATCTTCAACACGCTCAAAGGTTACCTGTGGAGTACCACAGGGATCAGTGCTAGGACCAATTCTCTTTACTTTATACATGCTCCCAATCGGTAGAGTTATTAGACAGCATGGGATTAATTTCCACTGTTATGCTGATGATACCCAGCTATATCTGTCTATAATCCAGATGAAGCTAACCCATTACATAGATTACAGGCATGTCTTGAAGACATAAAAACCTGGATGACTCTTAACTTTCTCCTTCTGAATGCAGACAAAACAGAAGTTATAGTCTTTGGACCAGAGTCTCTGAAAAAGAAGCTGATTAGTCAGTCACTTCATTTGGATGGGACTAAACTGATTTCAGATAATAAAGTAAAAAATCTTGGTGTTGTTTTTGATCAGGACCTGTCATTTAAATCCCATATCAAAGAGGTTTCTAGAATTTCCTTCTTTCATGTGAGCAATATTGCAAAAATGAGAAATCTCCTGTCCAGGGATGATGCTGAGAAACTAGTCCATGCATTTGTTACTTCAAGGCTGGACTATTGTAATTCTGTACTATCAGGAAGTCCACAAACTGTAGTTAAAAGCCTTCAGTTGATCCAAAATGCTGCAGCCATAGTTCTGATGAAAATGAAAAAGAGAGATCATATCTCTCCTATCCTGGCTTCTCTTCATTGGCTTCCTGTTAAATCCAGAATAGAATTTAAAATCCTCCTTCTCACATATAAAGCCTTAAATGGCCAAGCTCCATCTGATATCAGAGATCTGATTGTTCCTTAAAACTTAAGCTTAAAACTTTCCTTTTTGATAAAGCTTCTAGTTAGAGTGGCTCAGGTTATCCTGATCTATCTCTATAGTTCTGCTGCTATAGGCTTAGACTGCTGGAGGACATAGGGACCCCTTTTCATCATTCTGCTTCATTCTATCTCTATTCTCCCACTCTGCAGAATCTGTTAGTTCAATCTCTAACGTTCTGCTCTCTCTGCTTTTTCTCATAGTAGCTTCATCTGGTCTGTTCCTGTTTGGCTGTGACTCCATCCTGGAGAGAAATATCAGCTGTGCTGCTGCCATCAACACCTTTGTTTCTAGATGTTGGAGATAGGCCTGTTTCTCTGACATTGGAGCTGGCTTGGACCTTGTCTACCTGGTTGTGTGTCTCCTGGATGGGGCTTTTTCTATATGCTTCTTTTTCTATGTCTGCTTCTGTCTCCTTGAACCCCAGTGGGCCTCAGCAGATGGCAGCTCACACTGAGCCTGGTTCTGCTGGAGGTTTCTTTCTGTTCAAAGGGAGTTTTTCCTCTCCACTGTCGCTACAAGCATGCTTGGTGTGAGGGATTGCTGAAGAGTCAATGATTTGATGCAATCAACTGATTTTGCTTAGATAAAAAACTTTGAATCAATCTGACTGGATGATCTGGTGAACTGGAAAGTGCCTTGAGATGACATGATGTGAATTGGAGCTATAGAAATAAACTGAACTGAATTGAATTACTGTTACCTCAGAAAAAGGCAACAGTAAACTAGCTTCAGAAGTAGCTCTATCTAGTAAAGAAACAGTTAGGCAGACAAGGTCTGAGCCAGTTTTCATGTCAAGTTGATACAAGAGAGCACATCCCGTTAGTCACTGTAAAAGCTGTGCCCAAAGCTATTTTTAGGAGAGAAACAGGACTGAGCACTGAAAAACATAGAAGTTGTTGATATCAGCAGCCCAGCTGATTTTTCTAGCCAGGATGGTGTAATGCCTAACATGAATATACCAGATTAAGCTAATATTACAAAAATGCAGAGACAAAATAAAATTCACTGAACAGGATTGTAGCAGAGCTGACATCCGATAAATCGCTCATCCATTGATTAACACTGCTGGAGCTCTGAGCAGCTGATTGAGCAGCAGGCTGCAGCTCCCACCTTCAGCATTGTCAACTCTGGAAAACTTAAGAAAGAAAATAAATTAATATTTGCCTTTTACTGTGTGAATTTATTTTGTAAACATTTAAATACAACCTTTGTCAAAGTAGACATGTCATTTTCAAAGGTTTGATAATACAAGAAAGATGATTTTTGTTAGGGATGGTTGTTAAAATCTACTCCCAGTTAAGGCCTGGAAAATTTTAAATCACATTTTTCCTCTGAGCCATCAAACCCTTGAACAAACATCCAATGAATCATAAAAGGCTTCCTGGATCACTGCAATATGGGGTAAAGGAGTAATACTGTCCACTGCGTGAATATCGAGAACAAGCTTGTATAATAGTGGAATTCATTATAGGCAAAAGTCTAGCTTGTTATTGTTTACATAAAAATTGTGTAAAAAGAAATGTACTGTTTCTGAACACGTTGAATATTTTCTAAATCACATTTACTCATGTCTCCTTTTTTCTCAAATTGCATATGATTTGAGAGCTGAACTTTACTTTAGGTTAATGTATCCGCCCCTCTTGTAGCTATAGTGGGTTATTCTGCTGTCTCTGCTCTGCAGGTTCTTGTACAGAGTTCTGGTGTTTCCTGTCACTGTGGGCCTCAGAGCACAGTAGTACACAGCAGAGTCTGACAGACCGAGATCCATGATCGTCAGATTAAATGTTGAGTTCTTGATCCCTGCATGAAATCTTTCTTCACTGAACTCCGGATTGTTTTCTCTTCTTCCAGTATATTCTTTCAGCATATACTTTGGGAAGCTGCTTTCTTCTTGTTTATACCAGAACAAGGCATCACCTGTGAAACTGGCTTTGAAAGAACATCCCAGAGTCACAGATTCTCCTTCAGCAGCAGCAACATGTCCTTCTGTCTGTGTCACTGAGTCTCCTTTACACTCTGAGGAAGAACAGAACATGCAGAGGAAGAGATGAATCAATAAAGATGATTGATTAAAGGAGAACAATCAGCAGCTTTAAAGACTTCTATTCCATGTAGAATAGATGTCATTTTCTCTGATCATTGTCACTTTGAACCATATCAGGTGTTTCTACAAGGTAACAAATGGCAGCAGAAATGATCTGCTCTGATTTTCTGTAGAATGAACATTAAAGCTCTTCATGTAGAGCTCAGTAATGTGTTCAAGTGTTTGAAGAGGAAACATGTCGAGCTTTCTATCTTACCAAAGAAAAGAGCAGCTAGAATAATCCACAGCCAATGTTCCATCTGTCCAACAAGGTTTAAATCAGCAGGAGAAACTAGCTGATGTTCAACATTCAGTCTGACTATTGTTCTCTTCACAGCAACACTTATTATTGACACAATGCTGGAACACAGAGCACAAGGAGAGCTCCGCCTACTGGATGATGGCGCCCTCTGCTGGAGCTAGAAGGTGTCAATGAACAATAGAGCAAAAGGCTTCCAGCAGCTTGTCAGAGAATAAAACACATCATTCATTCTTCCTTCTTTCAGCTCCATTTTAGAGTGATGACAAACAGAGAAAAAGTGTCACAGAGATGCAGTGACATCATCTTCCTCACTTCATTTGTTCTGTCTGCTTTGGTTCTTGAATTCCTCTGACAGTGGGGGTCTTTCTCTTCTCAGAACTGTGAGGGATAATTCTCATTATATATGAAAATACTTTTTTCTAAATAACAATATCTAGTTTGTTGAGTATATTTGATACTTTACCATTTATAATACTTAGTTTTGTTCTGCTTATACTATAATACTGTAAGATAAAATATTCATGATTTAATGTTCTTTGTTCACCCTGCTAATGTGTTGTTATCTGGAAAAAACCTCAGCGCTGATTTCTGTAACCTTTTCTCTGCTTGGCTTAGAATAAAAAGAGTTGAAGTTTAGTTCTGTCTGAGAGTCATTCCTTTAAGAGGATTTCATTATTACTGTGGATCACTTCTAAGATACTGGGAGGACCGTAGACGCAATATTTAAATATCAGGATGATGAAAACACCAAAACCAAACCTGAACAAATTCTGTAGCTTTAAGCTCAAACTAATCAACCTTCTTCGTTTTAGAACATTTTCTGACTGAGTTCACCTTGAAATGATCTCAGCTGAGACATTTTATGTTCTTTTCTTTAACAGTGAACAGCAGCTGGAGTCTCTCTGCTCAACCACTTCTGCTGCTTTCCTTTAATGTTGAACACAGCATCACTTCTCAGTAAAAGGGATTTAAAATGTTGTTGAAATGGTAACAGAGACTAAATGTGTCTCAGCTCCAACAGACTTGCTGCACACTGAACATCAGCAGCCTTCCAGTCTAATGCCCACATGGACCCTACTGCTGCTGCTGCTGAACTGGTGCTGAACAGCCGTTTTTACCTCATTATGAATGGTGGGAATAATTATTCAGTGACGCTGCAGTAGAATGATCTCTCATCTGATTTTGAATCAGTCATTCGTTTTTAATGAGTTTTATTTAAAAAAACTTTTTTATATTCTTTCTAAGTAAATCATACAGAGATGACCACTGTTGGTAAAAACATTAGAGAGAAGATGAAAACTGCATTGTTTTTTTTTTCAGATACAAAATAATCTAACTATTAACTTTTATTTCTATCAAGTGTCTTTCCATATAAGATAAGATATGGTTGGTCCACTGCTGCACCTTGTGTCTCTATTTGAAGGGCTTATCAGGTCCACCTGTCTGTTGGAACTTTGGGGTCTTTTTTAGATACACAATGGTAAGGTTAGTGACCACTTAACACTGACAGGGAACAATAGCGAGCATATCAGTCATTAACCTGGTTTTTAAGTTCAGTCCGAGCTCAGAGGAAGGAGTGGAATCCAGCCAGATAATTGCCCACAACCTGCAGCTGAGGCCGCCCAGAGAGCTCCAGGAGTAAAAGCCAAAGGTGCAGTAGAGCAGACCGACAAGCAGAAGCCAGCAGACAAGAAAGAGTAGAAGAATCTGGAAGGAGAATTTAAGCCGATGTTAATGAAGAAGCAGAAGTAGAAGTAGGCCAGTAGATCAGATATCCAAAGAGGTACCAAAGAGAAATCCAAGTCGGGGTCAGGAGACAGATCCAAGGTTGTTAGCAGGCAGAGTCGAAAGGAAGTCCAAACATAGACCAAGCAAACAGATCAGAACAAGGGCAGGCAAACTCAGATGTCCAGGACCAGAGACTAGACAGGATCAGGTAGTCAGAATAACACGCTAGACACAGTGTGTCTATAACATACTACTACTCTCACCTGCAGTTCAAATCTGGCACTGATGGCTGGGACCAAGCAGTCTAAACAGGAACTGGAACAGGTTGATCTGATGAGTGAAAATAAAAACTGGGTGGAATTAGGCTAGTGGATAAAATAAACCAATAATCCAGTCATCAGTGCCAAGATCATGACAATTTGCTTATTCAAAAACATCAGAAATCAACCGATACACCATGAAAAACAGGAAGAAGAAAATATAATGATGATAATATGTTTATTAAACTGCCCCAAAGCATTACAACAATATGTACCTGAATTCATCATTTAGTGAACCTGGATGGATCATGAGGTTTTAGCCTTTGAACATATATGTCTGTGTAAAATATCAGTGGTCTGACAGCAGGACAGAGGTGGACTAAAACAGATCTTCATGAAGGGACAGCGCTCTGTCCATGGTGCTGATGTCCTGCAGAGGCTGAACTTCCATCCTGGAGCCTCCATCATCCCTCCTTTATGATCCAAACCTTCTCATCATAGAGTTCAATGATGCAGCAAACACTCTGATGTCTGCTTTATTCTCAGCTGCACAAACAATCAGACTGAATCCTAACAAACCATAGAGGAGGAACAGTGTGTGAGGCCCTCTAGTGGATGTAGTGGAGTATTGCAGGTTCTTGTGCAGAGTTCTGGTGTTTCCTGTCACTGTGGGCTGCACAGCACAGTAGTACACAGCAGAGTCTGTCACTGCAGCAGAGGAGATCAGCAGGTCCACTTGCTTCATCGTTTTGTTGATTTTAGCAGAGAAATCAGACCTAGTTGGATGAATCCCTCCAGCTTCTGTGATGTAGAGCAGGAACTCTGGTTTGGATCTCTCCTGCTGTCGGTACCACTGGATATTGTTGATAGAACCAGTATATTCACAGCTCAAACTGGTGCTTCTTCCCTCTGAAACAGCTTGTTCCCTCTGTTCCTGTTTGATGGTGTTCATGGAGCCCATGGCTGTAAAAGGAGTCATTAATGTCAGTTAGTCTGCAGGAGATTCAAACATGAAGAGACTCAGTAGAGGTTCTTCTCTCTGTGTTCCACATGTGATCACAATAAGGTTCATAGAGAAAATCAGAGCAAAGCTTTTCTCTGTGTTCTAACACTCACCTATGCAGAGAGAGAAAAGCAGCAAGAAGTAAAGAAACATGTTTTCAGGTAGAGTCAGACAGCAGAGGAACAAAGTTGTTCCACTGCAGCAGAATAAAGACTAAGAAGCTTCTCTGGTGCACAGACCTTCTCCTCAACATCAAGCTGCTTTTAGTGCAGCAAACACAAACCATCTCATTGGCTGAACCCAGCAGTGGTGGGAGGAGTTAGAGAAAATATTTTACTGTTTCCTCATTCCTAAAGTGGTTTTCAGTCTGTGAGATGATTTTAGCTGCAGAGTGAGAGGAATAGGTGTTTCTATCATCGGTTGATCATAAAAGGAAGGCGGCCCATCACAGAGTTCAAAAAGCCACTCAAACACTGGAAACTAAATGTCATTTAGAGGAGACGACTATTCTCACATGGAGGCTGAGTGGAAGATGGAGAAAACACAACATGTTCTGGTAGATTTATACTGCTACACCTGTGAACCTACAACATTTGGTTGAAAAAAGCCTGTGAGTTCCTCCAACATTTAATTTTACCTTAGTTTAAAAAAATATTTTTGAACGAAATTCAACAGAACATGTGAACTATGCAGAACAGATCCAAGGATTTTATTTAAGCAGAGAATCAGAGATACCATAAAAGAACCACCCATACTTTTGTAAATGAATCTGCCAAATAACCACAATTTTTTCCCAGGAGAGGAATGTTTAAATGTTTTTATATCATTAATATAACTACAAGTAGCTCCATTGGTCATATTTTAATCTGTTTTCCTCGTCAATAGTAGCAGTTGTACAGAGCGAGGCGAGCTCCAGCCACTCTGGATACATATCTCTGCAGGGATGCACTTTTCAGCATAACACCGGACCGCGATCCGTTAATCTGTGACCTCTGCATTAAACTGAAGCCAAGAGTAACGAGTAACGCTTGTTTTAAAAATGGAAGGAATAGAAAGTTCAGATACTAATGTAATGAGTAGAAGTCAGAAGTAGGAAGAGAATAAGTAATGGAGTAAAGTATAGATACCTTAAAAGTGGACTTAAAAACAGTATTTGTACTTCGTTTCTTAACACCTGTGGTGTCAAAGCACATCAATGTGGGAGGTGACCCGGGGAGTTAGCTGGACTGAGGGGGGGTTGTGGAGCAGTTTCAGAGGAACACTTTGAGGTTAACTGCACCCTCTGCCCCATTGAAAATGCAAAGAATAACGATAAACATGGATCCTAACAGGGGCGCCTCTAGAAATGTTTCATAGGGGGGGCCAGATGGGGCCTCTTAAATTCTTGGGTCCGCTCACAGAAACATCATTTCAGGGTTTTATTCTACTGCTGTGGTAAAACTGCCTGTGGAAAACTATCATAAAGATCTCAGTAAACACCTGCTCACATCTTTTGGCTTATTGTGTGATTATTAATGTTGCTACTGATCTAATGTGCACAGACATAGACCAGTTAACATTTGGAGTTGAACAATAGTTGTGTTTTATTTATATTTGAAAAAGTTGTTACATTTATTCATTTTTTGAAAATAAAAAACTGACTGGTGGTCCAGGAACAGGTGGAACTCCTGCTTTCACTGAGTTCTGCTGCTTCTGTCATCAAAGCTGCTGACTGTCCCTGCTCTGCTGCTGGTTGATGCTTTTCCTCATCACTGTTCTTCACTAATGCTGCTCTGTGTCCTCATCATGCTGCTGGTCTGTTTCTCTCCTCCATCCTCCTCCTCTCTTCTCCTTTTCTCTCTTCTACTCCTCCATCCTCCTCCATCGGCCATCCCCTGGTGGCGCCCATGATCCTCAATGACCAAAATAATGATCATGGTTTCTGGCCCAACATCTATAATTGGGTCAAGAGACAATGGCAACATAAAAAACTAGAAGTAAAACATTTATTTTCTGAAATGTGTTTATTTTCATTTTCTTTCTTGTAGCATTTTGATCCAGTGAGACTTATTGTCCCACCCATAGATGTTCTTGTTTTCTAGTGTTTATTGCTGTATCCTCTTCTCGTTTAGCATGTTTATTGTGAAAATAAGGTTAAAAAATGGAGCTCAGATGCCTGTGCTGAAGAAAACACCTTTAAGATATAATTATCAAAATAGTTCAGACTTGAGTGTATATGTTTAAATACGAAAGTGTTTATTGTTGCAGTTTTTAGCAATGAGATTGCAAATACAGGGATTGGTCCAGTGACTTTTAATGTCTCCATCATGATGTGAGGCTCAGGTACTCTCCCAACTCTCCAGTTTTTACATGGCCTAGAGGAGCTCAGGGTTTAGTGTGAATAACAGGACTGCCCTCTTTCATCAGCCCTGAGAATCAGTGGTTCAACAGTGTGTGAGGCCCTCTAGTGGATGTTGTGGAATATTGCAGGTTCTTGTACAGAGTTCTGGTGTTTCCTGTCACTGTGGGCCTCACAGCACAGTAGTACACAGCAGAGTCTGTCACTGCAGCAGAGGAGATCAGCAGGTCCATCTGGGGTTTGTTCACTTTAATCTTCAGTTCAGGAACATTTTTAATTCCTTCATCTCCTGAAGCAGAGTGAGAGATCAGAAACTCTGGAGGTTCTCCTGGATACTGACGGTACCAGAAGAAATAATCTCCTGGTTGCAGGTTGGGATAATTATAGGACAGAGTGACAGAGCTGCCCTCTAAGCTGGAGATCTCTGTTTTAACCGCAGTCAGTCCTTCACAGCGGATTCCTGAAGAAAAAGGAGTTTTAGTTTTTGATTCAGAAACATTTCTGACATTTCAGAACAAAAACATTTGAAACATCTAGAATCTGACCTGTTAGCAGTGAGGCGACCAGCAGAGAAAGTCCATAATAGTCCATGATGATCAGAGTTAATGTTTGAACTGTGTTGAATGTGGAAGTTTGTGTCTCTTCTATAGTTCAGTAACAGCTCAGCTCCTCCCTGAAGCTCTCAGCTCCTCTTCCTCCTGATTATCAGACTCACAGCTTCTCTGCTTATGGTAGATTATTTTACATGAATAAGTAAGTGAAATAATTTCCTTAACCCTGTAAAACCCAAATATAGAAAAACACGCACACAAAAAAATCAACCACTCAGATGTTGTTGTAGGCCTTCGATGCTGAAAATGAAGTGTTTTCAAAAAATTTTATGTTTTAGTAGAACCTGCAGAATTTTACAACTTTTTTCTTTATATTGCAGCATTGGGCCGAATGGGGAGCAGATTTTCCTGTATTTGTATTTATTGTCTGAACAACAATACAGAACTAAAGATTAATTTGCATGGTTTTGCTTTTATCCAAGAACAGTATAATATGAACAATAATCTCAGTCATGTTGTTATGTCAACAGATCTTCGTTAACTTGATGTTTTGGATTCCTGGTTCTAACCTGTGTTTCCTGCCTCCCTCAGTTAGTTGAGCTCTGGATTGCTCACCAGTCAGTCTCCGTGCTCAGAGGACTGGTCTCTGAATCCCTGCTGCTCAGATTCTGCTCTAGCGTTCCACTCAACCCCCCTTCAGTGCTACTGAGCCGGACAAGAGAACCCCCTTCCTGGATTCACGTTGGTTCCTTCAGCTGCTCCTCAAACCTGCCTCCCCTGCGGTGCTGCTCGGGCCCCCGCCTAAGTCCCACCTGACGCTCAGCCACCTCCTCCCATCAGAAGGAGCACAGAACATGCTTCAATATTGAGCATAAATCAAAAATGTCTGCATCAAGCTCACTGCGACACTCTGCTGCAGAAGTATAACCAGCCCTTAAGGCTACTTGAAGCTTGTTTTATTTAGTCGGGAAAATGCTGCTGTAACTTGTTTTTCAGTAATTTATTTGACATTGTGGTTGAAACGGTCCAAATTAATGTGTTTGTGACTCTGTTGCACGGGGTAATCTGGGCACCTTTCTTCCTGCGTGTGATTAAAATGGACTTTGAGTATTCAACAGCTGAAATGTAACTTCATAGGCTGTTATGCATATTAAAAACGTGCTAAAAATCACTCACTAGTTATTTACTATTAGTGTTTAGGAATTCATGTCATCTATGGGGTCCAATGACCTGCATTAATCCACTTCTGTTGTCAAAATGCTTTCATATTTTTGATGCATTTTTTATTATTAAAAACTAAATCGTCTTAAAGGTAAAAACATTGTCTATTTTCATAAATATATTTTATGATACATTTTTCAGAACTGACGCTAACTCAACTACAGAAAAATGAAAGTAATAAACTCACCGTTGAGTTAGCGTTAGCTTGCATGACCGGCTCCGTCATGCTGGTTTTCCTTCCGTATGAAGGCGCCACACGCGTCACGTCACGTGACTAAGAAACCGTAACGGGATTGGCTGGGTGTAGGACGCCACAATCCATTGCTAATGTCTGTGACCTGAAGTAACCCTTCCCTTTTTACACTGAATTTAGACGCTGAATTTAAGACGGTGAAATAGAGCCAGTTGAATCTCAGGAGGCTGAAAATATTGAGTTTGAATTTTGAAAGGTTGAATTATTTTATATGCAGATTTTTTTAACACTCAAAAATTAAACTGAAAAATAAGTATTGAAAATGTAATCACTTTGAAATAGCAATGTGGATTTTTAGCCTGAAGAGAAAATAACAAATGAAATTTCAACTGTGTAGAAATAAAAACAATGAATTTATTTTTAGGTCAAAAATGTGTTCTGAATATATTTTAACACTGAAACAGTAAATACAAACATACAACATTTAAATTTCATTTTTAATTCAAATCCCAGCGACACAGATTTACTTCCATACCAGAGTGGAATAAATGTTCCAACCACCGGCAGCAGGAACAAATCAAATCAAATGTAATGATAGAAACCTTAGTCAGTTAAATAACCTGCTGCTGTCATTCTGCACATCTCTGATGTTGCTGCTATTTTCTAATATCCATTACTGGAAAAATGTCCATAGCTGCATATTGGTTATTTATTCTCCAGGTGAACAGGTTAGATTGTTTAAACAATTTACAGTACAGTATTATCTTGTTTATCTTTTAGCTCTTAACTATTATGTTATTCTTTTACATTTTCCTAAGGTCCACACTTCAATAATCTTTATTTTTTTTTTTTGCTGTTGTAAACTGACTCATTCTATTCTATTCTATTCTATTCTATAAAAGAGGTACAAAGGTTTAAATAAGTAAATCGAAACAATGTATGTATAAAAACTATATCTACAAAATCTATCATATTCAACAACAAAAAATACTTAGTTAAGTAAAATGTGCAAAACAGCAATAAAAAGATAAAACTTCTATCAGATTTATAGTCCCCACCCTGCAGATCTATTAGAATCTGTCCTTAAATTCCAGCCAAACCCATTTAATCAGTAAAAGATAAAAACCTTTAGATAAATCAAACATTACCGCCACATATCTGAATCTATAACCATTAAAACAACTATTTTCATTCATTTCAGACAGAACTATTCACAGACTGGATTATATTAAACTGAACTTCTAATATTCACCACTGTTTGGCGCCAAGTAACCTTTCCTCTGATCACGGAGCAGCCGGCTTGCTTGGTCTCACAGTGAATCCTGGGATATCCAAGGATAGCGAGGATACATCGGAACAATCCTTCAAATCGGGCAAAAGAAGGACGCATTTTAAGGCCGCATAACGAGGACTCTTGGAATCCGACCAGACCTCGGCGCTGCGCTATGACGTAATCGCCCAAAGAAAACAGGCCTTCGTAGGACGCAGCCCATAAAGTTGAACTCAGTCCTTCTCTGAGTTAATACCTACAGCCTTTCTCTCAGCTCCTCCCAGTCTGACAGGAAGCTTGCATCAAGCTTTCTAAAATGCTGCTACTGTCCATTAGCCTGCACAACAGTTTATATAGCTTGAGGAGAACCCTCTGAAAATGTTCTCTACTTTAAATCCTGGGAGCTGATCCAGAACCGATTGTCCCAGCAGAACTGGTCCAAACTCAGAGGCTCTGATATAGAATCACATCATTTCAGTCCAGGGTCTGCAGGAAGCTCTGCAGATGTTGGAGCTGCACTCAGGAATGAGGAACCTGATGGAAATCACTCATGAAAATCTAGTCCCGGTCTTTGAAAATCTAACTAAGTATTTTTCTAAGGATCAGATGAAGCCACACAGGAAAGAATCTGCAGTCCTGAAACATCTAAAGGACAGAATGTCCATCAGCAGTAGGACAGAGGGACACCAGTGATACTTTCTATCTGAATCACAGTATTACAGGCATCAAAGATTTATATTTCATTTGTATTTATATCATTATCATCCTTGATATTTTAAACATCCTAGAAATGTAGAATATTCTATCCAGCTGTGAGATTTTCTCTGTAACCCATGAAACCTTCCATTATGAAGCAACAGAGAAATACTGAGGATTGCTATTGAGATATCTGAGTGTTAAGTTTTGACAGACTAACCATCTATTATGATATGAACAATTTCACCTTTTTAATAAAACATTCTACTGGTTCTATCTGCCTCCATATTCTTAAAACCAATTAAACATTGATGGGGAAAGAGCATTCAACCCCACTGATGGAATGAGCTTCCAATACACGACTGAGTGAAATCCATCGAACTCATTTTATTTAACTTGAGTGAATAGTTGAAAACCTTTTAGCAGCAACATCTCTGAACCTTGGTTTGATATATTATATTAGTGACTGAATAATAAAAAAAAAGTTACAAAAAAACATAGTATTATCATTATTACAGGACTGGATTTTTAGCATTCTGTCTTGGTAATCAATAATACCTTCACCTCTTACTAGGTTCAGGATCACTGCAGGGTTTAGGAGTCTTTGGACAAACTTTGCCATTAAAATGCATTTTCTAGTTTTTATTTCTGTGCAAAGTCTAAAGGCTTAAACTGGTATTTTAAATTGAATCAACAGAATGTAGTGAAAACACAACATTAAAATGTGACTTAAAAAGAAATGAAGGGAAAGATTGTTTTTTTGGTGATAGCTATGAAATTAATCTCTTCTCTGCCAAGTTGTATTTTTCTGAGGCTGGAAATCATTTTAACATTTATTCCAAGTTTGGATCAACCTTAGTGGAAAACTGAGGGCGAATGTTCTCAGGAGAGTTTAGTAAACATTGCTGACATGTTGTCATTCTGCAAAGAATGTCCACTAACTGTCCACTGGACATCTACTGACTGACCACTGAATGTCCTCTGAATGTCCACAGAGAGCGCTCCCTGAACATAACGTACTGTTTTATTCTGACGTTCAGTGAATGTTTCTTGAACGTTCAATGATAGTTCAGAGTTCCAGATGTCCAGCTGCTCCGCTCACCTGTTTTATTTGGGTCCATAACAGAGTTCTATAGAACTCACTGACAAACTGCTTAAGTTCTTTACACTGAGACAGGTTGGACAAAGGATATCCTCTAAACTTTGGGGGACACAGTGTCCTGATGTCTCAGGCTAAGGAGAGAGGATATTTGGAAAGTTCTCCATCTTTCTGTTTTAGATCCACACGATCAGATCATATCTGCTCCTATAAATGCTCTCAGACTCAAGTGGAGACAGATAATTGTCAGTATAATGCAGTGTGTGAGGCCCTCTAGTGGATGTGGTGGAGTATTGCAGGTTCTTGTACAGAGTTCTGGTGTTTCCTGTCACTGTGGGCTTCACAGCACAGTAGTACACAGCAGAGTCTGTCAGCTCAGCAGAGGAGATCAGCAGGTCCAGGTGTTTCTCTTCTCTCAGTTTAGTGGAGAATCTTGATGCTGATTTCAGATTATCTGCTGATCTTGAACTGTTGAGCCCTGAGATGTACATGATGAACTCTGGAGGTTTTCCTGGATATTGTCGATACCAGAAGAAATCAACACCAGCAGTTATCTTGCTGGAGTAACTGTAGGACAGAGTAACAGAGCTGCCTTCTAGACTGAACTCTTCAGTCTTTGCTGCAGTGAGTTGCTGACAGTTTACACCTGAAGGAAGAAAATAAAATAAAATAAATGAAGAACATCAGGGATCAAATAGTTCTCTGAAAGACTCCAACTAACCTGTTCCTATAAGCAGAACCAGCAGAGTAAATCCAGATGTGAGCAAAGACAGCATGATGATCAGAGTTAATGTTTGAACTGTGTTGAATGTGGAAGTTTGTGTCTCTTCTATAGTTCAGTAACAGCTCAGCTCCTCCCTGAAGCTCTCAGCTCCTCCTTCAATCTTTCTACATCTTTTCTTTTTCTCTGTTTAATAGATTTTTTATGGAAACTTTAAGCTTAAAATTTATGAGGCAAGAGGAGAGTTCACTGTGATTAAAATGTGCTAAACATATAAAAATAATATTTGTCCTAAAGAAATGATATCAATGTAGAAGTCTGTGACGTAGAAGGTTTACTGTAAACTATAAAATATGATTTTATCCTGCTTTCAGTTCCAATGTGGTTCACGTCCATCAGTGTCTCATAGCCTGATTTGTGGACTCTGCCTTAAACAAAATTCTCCTAAAGTTTCCACAGCCGTCTTCAGGGAATCCACAGACTTTCTGGCAGCTTTAGTTTTGGTCTCTTTTTTGCCTTTGATTAAAATGTCATCTTCCACTCATTAAGTCTTTCTACAGGTTCATCTGATGTTTGCTTGGACTCTTTGGGATGCAGAAAAATGTTCCTTTATTCGATCTAAACTGTCAAAAACTTGGAAATGTTAATAATATTTTGTTCCTTAATAATAAAATCTAACCCAGTTTAAAGAATAGTAACCTCAGAGCATGATGCTGCCACCCGCATGTTTCACTCTTAGTCTGCTGTTCTTTCTGGGAACATTATTTTCATTTTGTCCAACAAATCTAGTTTGGTTCCTTCCAACCAGTTAATATTTTCACCAGACTTTAGGCAGACCTTGATGTTTATTTTTTATTGGAGGAAAAAATCTATTTTCCAATTCTACTCTATAGTCCAGAAATAAGTGACTGAATGTCTAGTGGATAAAAAAGTGTTGGACTCCTTCACTCCTGGATATCCTTCACTCAAGCTGCAAAATGAGTGTTTGGTGTGACTGTAGTTTAAAGCTCGCTGACATCAGAACTTTAAGAACATCTTTAGAGTTTGGTTGTCAACCGGGAAGCATAAAGTAAAAAAAAAAAAATTAATTGTCTCAGAAATAAGACATATGATGGTTATTAAGAGTTCTCTGTCTTTAATCAAGGATTCTGTCATTTCGTACCATCCTAAATCTGCGTGTTTCTGGTATCAAAATTGACGTCAGATCCATTTTTTGTCATGGTCTTGGTTCTGCTGTTCTTTACTTTGCTCCTTGTTTTCTAGATTTCTTGGTTTAATTCCAGTTTTGTTGTACTTCTAGATTTATTTTAGTTCTCATGTTTTTCTGTTGTCCTCTTTTGCCCTCTTGTGTGTGTTCCTTTCCCCTTGGCTCCCTCATTGTCTCCTCTCACACCTGCTCCTTGTCTGCTCGTTAGCCCTCCCTTTGTTGGTTCCTTGTCTTTGCTGTCCTCCCGTGCTGTTGTCCACGTTCCTCGTCTCTCCCTGGCTCCTCGTGTTTGGTTTCCCCCAGATGTCTCCATAGTTCTGGTTTGCTTTTGATTATTAGTTGGATTTTTGCATTCCTGCCTTTGTTACTGTTTTTGACCCATTAAACTCCCAAGAAATCTCCTCAGCCTCTCTGCCTCTGCATTTGGGTCCTCTACCACAACTGACCATGATATTTTTAATAATTTTAATATTAAAGAAAAAGAGAAATAGATGAAGGTGAAACCAAACACAGTTCATCAGTTTAATAGCATCAGAGTAGAAAGTGTTTCTAGGTGGTCTAACTCTAGATGCTCCTCAGCCTCCAGTGGATAAATGCAAACCCAGCTACTGTTTAGCTGAACCACCTCCACAGCTGCTCCTCTGAGATACAGGGGATGAAGAGGATCCTCATCCTTCTGAAATCCACCACCATCTTCTTTGTCTTCATATTGATACAGAGGTTATTTCCTCTTAACTAATAAATAATTCTTTGTCTCGATCTGAGAGTTTATTACGTTTCCTCTCACTGTTCCTGTCAGTGTGGTAGATTTGCTGAGACTCTGCTCCTGTGGATCCTCCCACAGTGTCTGATTAGCAGCTGTAACCACAGTGACTCTGATCAAACAGGAATTAGCAGAATCCATCTGATATGAAGCTGAGCTTTGAATACCACTTCCCTCCTCTTTGAAGAGGAGTCAGATATCAGTGTTCAGCTTTTTGTACAGCCTCTTCTACACTTTGTATCACTGTGTTTGCAGAGCACAGTAGTAGAGAGCTGTGTCTGCCAGGGTTAGCTCTCTGATGGTCAGCTTAGAGCTGATGATGATTATCTTGGTGATGAAGATAAAGATGATGAAACCATTCCATATTGTGAGTTAAACAGGTTGTTCTTCTTGACTTGAACTGAATGAATGATTATTGAAATATGCTGCAGTGGGATAATCTCTCATTTGATTTTAAATAAAAAAGCTTTAAAAAAGCTTTCAATTACTACTCTTGTATAAAAAAAACATTTCTTTCAGTATAATTTTAAGGTAATTCAAAGAGAAATTACCAATGTGGCTAAAACATTAGAGAACAAAGAACATATTTTTGCTGCAATCTATTTACTTAGATGTTTTAGAAAACTAAACTGTGATTACGCAGAAAGACATGAGTATCATGATCTGGTTTCAGATTGAATCCAAACAAAACATAGAGGAGGAGCAGTGTGTGAGGCCCTCTAGTGGATGCTGTGGAGTATTGCAGGTTCTTGTACAGAGTTCTGGTGTTTCCTGTCACTGTGGGCCTCACAGCACAGTAGTACACAGCAGAGTCTGCCATTGCAGCAGAGGAGATCAGCAGGTCCATCTGGGGTTTGCTCACTTCAATCTTGAGTTCAGGAACATTTTTAATTATTTCACTCCCTGAAGCAGAGTGAGAAATCAGAAGCTCTGGAGGTTCTCCTGGATACTGACGGTACCAGAAGAAATAATCTCCAGTTCGCAGGTTGGGATAATTATAGGACAGAGTGACAGAGCTGCCCTCTAAGCTGGAGATCTCTGTTTTAACCGCAGTCAGTCCTTCACAGCGGATTCCTGAAGAAAAAGGAGTTTTAGTTTTTGATTCAGAAACATTTCTGACATTTTAGAATAAAAACATTTGAAACATCTAGAATCTGACCTGTTAGCAGTGAGGCGACCAGCAGAGAAAGTCCATAATAGTCCATGATGATCAGAGTTAATGTTTGAACCGTGTTGAATGTGGAAGTTTGTGTCTCTTCTATAGTTCAGTAACAGCTCAGCTCCTCCCTGAAGCTCTCAGCTCCTCTTCCTCCTGCTGAACAGACTCACAGCTTCTCTGCTTCTGATTTTTTTTTACTTTTTACATGGAGAAGTAAGTTGAAGAAGTTTCTTCATCCTCACACATTTTTTACAAAAAAAAAAATTCTATATATTTTAGAAGACGGTACTTTATTGATCCCTTGGGAAGACTCCCATGAAGGTTACCAGCAGCTTACAGGGCAAAAAAGTATTAAGTGAAATTAAGTTAAAATTAAGCAAAATACAAATACAAATAAATATGGAGTTCACATTTAACAGAAAAAATACAAGCGTTGCCTCTCCTTCCCTCTGTCCTGTGTCACCTCCTCGCCCCCAGTGAGGCGTTGTACAGTCTGATGGCGTTGGGGACAAAAGAGTTCTTAAGTCTATTGGTCCGGCAGCAGTCTGTCACTGAACAGGCTCCTCTGGCAGCTGATGACGGTGTGCAGAGGGTGGCTGCTGTTGTCCATGATGTCCATCAGTTTATTCAGAGTCCTCTCCTCTGCCTCCGTCACCAGAGAGTCTAACTTCATGCTGGCCTGCCTGATCAGTTTGTCCAGTCTGGACGTATCCTTCTTGGATGTACTGCCTCCCCATCACACCACGGTGTAGAAGAGGACACTGGCAATGACAGACTGGTAGAACATATATAGTAGTTTGCTGCAGGTGTTAAAGGATCGCAGTCTCCTAAGGAAGTACATCCTACTTTGTACCTTCCCGTACAGGTTGTTGGTGTGTTTTGACCAGTCCAGTTATCTGTCCAACCACACCCAAAGGTACTTGTAGGAGTCCACGGCCTCCACCTCAGTTCCCTCTAGTACGACTGGTCTTTGCTTTTGTCTGGACCTCCTAAAGTCTATAACCAGCTCCTTTGTCTTAGAGGTGTTGAGCTCCAGGTGGTTTGTGTGGCACCAAAGGGCAAAGTCCCCCACCAGATGTCGATATTCCGCCTCTTTGTCATCCCTGATGCATCTGACTATGGCTGTGGCATACGTTTGTATGTGACAAAGCTCTGAGTTGTAGTGGAAGTCAGAGGAGTACAGGGTGAAGAGAAGAGGGGCCACCACTGAGCCCTAAAGGGCTCCTGTGCTGCTGACCACAGTGTCAGACATGATGTCCTTCAGCCTGACATACTGCGGCCTGTTGGTGAGGTAAATGTGCATCCAGGTGACCAGGTGCGGGTCCACTCCCATGCTGTATAGTTTGTCCTGGAGCAGAAGGGGCTGGATTGTATTAAAGGCACTGGAGAAGTCCAAGAAAAGGATCCCCACCTTATCAAGGTGGGAGTGGGCCCGGTGCAGCAGGTAGAGAATGGCATCCTCCACACCGACATCTGGCTGGTAGGTGAATTGCAGGCGGTCTTGGGCATGTTGCACCTGAGGCCTGAGTAGGCCAAGGAAGAGCCGCTCCAACGTCTTCATCAGGTGTGAAGTGAGTGTCACGTGAGTCATTCAGCCTGCTGGGCCTGTTCTTCTTGGGCACTGGAACGATGCAGGATGTCTTCCAGAGGGTTGGCACTTCCCCTACCTGCAGGCTGAGGTTGAAGATCCGCTGTAGTGGCTCTTCCAGTTCAGCAGCACAGGTCCTCAGGAGTCTTTGAGGGATCATTCTTATCATTTATAAAAATAGCTTTTTTAAATGATCATATCTAGTTTGTTAGATATATGATATAATATTCCATGCTTATACTATAATACTGTAAGATAAATGTTCATGATTTAATGTTCTTTGTTCATGATGCTAATGTGTTGTTATCTGGAAATAACCTCAGCGCTGATTTCTGTAACCTTTTCTCTGCTTGGCTTAGAATAAAAAGAGTTCACGTTTAGTTCTGTCTGAGAGTCGTTCCTTTAAGAGGATTTCATTATTACTGTGGATCACTTCTAAGATACTGGGAGGACTGTAGACGCAATATTTAAATATCAGGATGATGAAAACACCAAAACCAAACCTGAACAAATTCCATAGCTTAAAGCTCAAACTAATCAACCTTCTTGTTTTTTAGAAAATTTTCTGTCAGTTCACCTTGAAATGATCACAGCTGAGACATTTAATGGTCTTTTCTTTAACAGTGAACAGCAGCTGGAGTCCTGTCATTGAATGACAATGACAGGATGCAGGAGTTTGCCCTGCAATCAAAGGGTTGTCAGTTTAATCTTTCCATGTGGTTGTTTCCTTCACTTCATCAGCATTGCCTACTGATGGAGGTCAGAGGTGGTGCCTGTGTACGGCAGCCTCAGGGCAGCTGAGGCTATAATGAAGCTAGCCACAATAATCAGTGTGTGTGAATGGCTGAATGTAATATAAACTTACTTGGTTATCTGAACTGTATTCAAGCTGCATTATTCATTCAATAAAGTTAAATCGTTTCATGGTTATTTCATTAAATGGTTATTAAGAAGCTTCAGGTTTGCAGCAAAGTGGCCAAAAGAGTTGTTTTTGCCAAGATTTGTACCTGACATCCAGCATGCAGACACCCTGTCTACATGCGGCATTCTCTGTGTAGCTAAGTAGAAATACTAATTTGATTTTACATAGAGATGTGAATACTACACGACTCTCTGCACTTACGTGTTTTCTGATAAGTTTAGATGTAAAAACAAAATATTAAAGTTGCTGATACAGCTTAATGTGGATGCACGTTGGAAGATATAAACCTTTAACTGAAACCATTAATTAACCATTACTGAGTTTCATGATAAATATTCAAACGAGAGTAAATATGAAAAACAAAGTGAATATTACTGAACCCTCAAGAAAGATAATCGTTTTCCACATGGCCAAGATTCGATTAGTATTTGGATCGAAAACCCAATATATTCATCCTGTGGGCGTCTTTCTCTTTCATTTCTCTCTCATTCAAGAGGAAACTATCCCATCAACCCATGTTTACACAAACAACCATTCTTTCCTCCAGCGTCGGCCGTAGCACTAATGACATCTTGACCATGCTACTCACGATTATCTGTAAACCATTACTGGTTGAATCCTGAAACTCAATCTATACATTATAAACATGATACGTGAAGGATAACAACTCAAAACCCTTCAAATTACTTGAGGTTAGCCGTCAGGTTATAAGGCTAAGTGAAATGAAAAAGAAAAAGGAAAAACGTAAGTCAGTCAATCAGTAGTCAGAGTCCCAACTCCTCTAAACAGCTGCCCATGTATAGTTTACTATGTAAAACAGTGAGACAGTAATACAGATTAGAATGCAGAATAATGGCATGTTACAATCATCAGGATTATGTTTGTAGAATAAAAGAATAGTTAGTGCTTGTGATGTCATCTTTTCTGTTGAAAAAAATCAAAAATATAGTTCTTTCACTTCAGGGCTTTGTCCCTGGCTTTTAAAAGGCATGAACACAGGAGCACGGGTTCACGCCTTCAACATTGTTGCAGATGGAAGTCAATGGTTTGCAGTATTATGCTTGGGGTCACAGGCTTTTACAATCCATGACCTGAAAATGAGTAAGACAGAAAAATAATTTGTGTTCTTACCAGCAAATATCAGCCAATCATAGACAATAATCTTCATATCACTCCAATCATCCCATTGTAGTACGTAGTGTTGGACTTATCTGATTCTATTGGAGAAGGATCCCATTCCCCCCGTGATGCTTCCATCACAGCAGGTCCTTCTCGTGGTCCTCCTGCTTTTCACGCCTTGGAGTTGCATTATTTCAACATGTAGCTGGAGTTCGCTGTTCCTCTTGTCCTTTCATTACTCTTTGATGTACTTCCCCTATTATTTGAGTTCAGTCAGTCTGCTCCGATGTTCTCTTGGTCCCCTGGGCCTCACATATCGTTCATGTGTCCATGCCTTATCTGTGTCCAAAGTGAGGGCAGTCCTTTTCCCATTGTCCTTAAATATCAGTGTCAGATGTGATCCTGAGAGGAAAGAAAAACTGACGAGTATCTTGAAACCACATCTAGAGATGTAGATGAGTCCAGTTTCTGTATTCGAGGTTCATATTAAAATAAGAAAAAGTTTTGATTCTTGCAGGAATGTCCCATTGCCTCTTGGTTTATCTTCTCCCTGATCTGCAGTTATAAATATTTCCAAATATCCTCCAATAATTTATAAAATTCAAATCTCAGAGAATTAACCTTTTTGATAACAATAAAATAAATCATGTAACACGATTGTAGGACTTCAGATTGGACCTCAGACCAAAACAACAAACAAAAAGTCTCTCTTTTGTTGAATCATCTTACCTGTTCAAAGAAACATGAAATAAATTACAATCATCTTACCTTCCTAAGATAACAAAAACAGGAGAAAACTTTACTCAAAGAAAATGGCGGTCCTATCCTACTGTGCAATCGGTGTTACAGCTTCAAATCGCTCCACAATCATTTCAGGAATCTTGTCATTTAAATATCTGTTAACACAGCTGAGTGTGAGATAAATATAATCAAACTTCATCACCTTTTCTATTCCTCTGTAAGGTCCCTCTCATCACAGAGATCCTGGGTCATTTTTGCTGGAAGTGCATGTATTGCATTATTCTCCCAATTATATGTTAATGACAGAAAAAACATTAGTAAAATAATCATTTGAATTTGCAATGCAACCCTTAAACAGGTTGCATTGCAGAATATAAGCAAAAATCCTTTTTCCTCTAAGCAAGTTGAGTGCCATCCTACGTTGTTTATGAAAACAATCTGGATTCGTACTTTCTGTGCTTTATTAGAACAATTATAAAAGACATATAGATTTGTAATTTATTGGAAAGTTTATGCACTTAGATCACAAAATCTCACATTAATGTTCCTGATTTTCCTACTTAAGGTGCTTTGCCAGTTGTTTATTTACTGAATAAACCTTTTATTCAGTAAACTACTGTTACAAATGTACATGTGTGAAAATCTGCATTATGTATTGAGACAGAAATCAGGAACATTCTCTTATTGGTCTACAGTCTAGTTTTTAAATGAAACAAATCCCTGCTGTTGCAAACCCTCATAGAAACATTTTAACTCTTCCTTATTATAATGTTTTTCCTATTTGGCTCCATACTGATAGCTAGGG